AGCATGGTTTGATCAAGTTTGATGCCCCAGCATAGGGGGATGCTGGAGCAGTGGGTCCAGAGAGGGTAGGTGGGTAGGGGAGCACACTCACAGAGTCAGAGGAGGGAGGAGAAGATGGATGTGGGATGGTGGTTTGTGGAGGGGTAACTGGGAAGAGGGATGTCATTTGAGATGTCAAAGAAGGGAGTGATTAATAAATAAAATAATAAAAAGAGGACCAGTTTCAGTTCTCAGAACCTACATGGTGGCTCATGACCATCCACAGTTCCAGTTCTAGGGTATCCTATGCCCACTGATTGTGGGGACCTGGCACATATGTGCTGCATATACATATATATGCAAACAAAACACTCATAAAATCTAACCATTTATTATTTATTTGTGTTAAGTGTATAAATGTTTGGCATATATGTATACCCCATACATGCCTGTTACTAGGATTTCCTGGAACTAGGATTATGGATTGTTGGCAGCCAAAATATTGGTGCTGGATCATCTACAAGAACAATTACTCTTACTGCTGAGCCATCTCTGCAGCCTCCTTTTTTTATTTAAAAAAAACATATTGAATTAGGTAAGGTATAGTGCAAATATGTAATCCCAGCCTTCTGCTATAGGACTTTGTATCAAAAAAAAATACAAGAAAAGAAACCCATAAAACTAGAAAATACTCCTAGAGAGATATTAGGTAAAAATACAAGTTTCAAAATCAGTTTGTAAATTGAAAGTAGGTGCATAGGAAATACTAGGATATGGCAATGCATTGGAAATAGTTCTGTTCCCTGTTTGCTAAGTGAGCAGGATTAGAGGCTTCTATTTAACTTTTCCGATTTCGTTTTTAAAAATGCATTTGTATTTTATGTGTATAATTGTTTTAGTTAGTGTGTGCACATGTGTGGATTTCATGCTCATGGAGGCTAGAGCAATATGTCACATCCCCTGGACCTGGGGTTCCAGTTGTGAGCTACAATGTGGGTGCTTAGAATTTAACCCAACCCTCTACAAGAGCAATAATATATTGCTCTTAACCACTGAGCCATCTCTGCAAACACCAATTTTCCTGTTTTAGACATTTTTAGCTAGCATTAAAATGATAATTCATTTCCAGGACAGCAGGACTATACAGAGAAATCCTGTTTCAAAAAAACCAAAAAAAAAAAAAAAAAGATAATTCATAAATGAAGGAAAGGATTTTCTCCAGAGAGATTTCTTTTGGGTGTCAAATCTTATACTGAGAGAAGTGGATGTTCCATACTGTCGTGATTGGTTTGTATATGCTTAGGCCAGGGAGTGCCACTATTAGGAGATGTGGCCTTGTTGGAGTAGGTGTGTCATTGCGGGCTTTAAGACCCTAGTCCTAACCATCTGGAAGCCATTCTTCTCCTAGAGGACTGCAGATGAAGATGTAGAACTTTCAGTTTTTCCTGCACCATCCTGTCTGAATGCTGCCATGTTCCTGCTTTAATAATAATGGACTGAACCTCTGAACATGTAAACCAGCCCTGATTAAATGTTGTCCTTATAAGTGTTGCCTTGGTTATGGTGTCTGTTCACAGCAGTACAACCTTAAGACAGAAAATGGTACCAGGGACTAGGGTATTGCTGTGATTGGCTTGACCATGCTTTTGACTGGAAGAGTGTGGATTTGGGGACTTTGCATTTGGAAAACAGTGGAATGCTTTATGTGGGGCTTAATGGGCTATCCTAGTAATATGAAAGACTTAGTTGCTGAGATTGAATTGAACTATGCAGACCTGGCCCAAGAGGGTTCAGTGGAGAAGCATATCAGTACGTGGCATAGAGACTGTTTTTATGGTATTTTGTTGAAGAATGTGGCTGCTTTCTGCCCTTGTCTGAAGAGTCTATCTGAGGCTAAAGAGATTTATATTAATTGTGTTGACAAAGGAAGTCTCAAAACAGCCTGGTATAAATTCAGTTGTGTGGTTACTAAAGTTCACCCCTTTGAAGAGCATTTAATGAAAAGAAGCAAGCTGAGAAAGGAAAAATACAAAATATATAGTTTAAGTATTCAGTGGGTACCAGGAAGTAGAAAGGAGCTGAATCCTACGTCCTAGGAGATAACAGATTAAGGGAGTAGGACTTTGGAACAAGATCTCACTCAGCTAAATTTAGATCCAGGAATGGTGGTTAAGTGGTACATACCTTTAATCCCAGGAGACAGGCATGCAGATCTGAGTTCATGGATAATCTACAGAGCAAGTTCCAGGACAGCTAGGCTTAGGCAGTGAAGGAGTTGGAAAACAGAAAGCTGGTGATAATGTAATAGAACAAGGGGGCCATGTTCCAGCCCCAGCAAGCAGCAGAACTTGGAAACTTCAGCCATGTGGCTCTGGCTTTAAGTGTGAAAAATAGAAGGGACTATTAGGATAATTGATGCCAGTTAGCTGGAGCTAAGAAATTAGCAGTGATTAAGAAGATGCCAGCATCACTAAGGTGAAATCTCTGGGAAGTGTTTTCTGAGAGCACAAAGCTGTGTTCCAGAGATAGCCAAGGTTGTACCTCCTGCAGCAGCTGTACTTGGTAATGTGTGAGAGTCACCCAGTGGTACTGATTTTGAAGGCATGAAGGCGTCATAAACTGCAGCTGAGGCTTGGCACTGTGAGAGGCCGTAGAAGGCCATTGGTAAAGGTTTAACCTCAATTGCAGTTGGCAGCCCAGGACTAAAGGGGTCATGCAAAGGGTTTAAGGCTTGGCACCATGAGGAGAGCCTATGAGAAACTATTTGTGTAGCCTAGTTACAGAAAAAGACTCTAGTATATTGGAAATGCCAGTACCAAGGGATGATCACCAAGAACAGCAGCAGCAGTGGAGTGGATCCACCTGAGCTTAGAGTCCTACAGAGGGCAGAGCTGGAGAAGTGACACAAGTCCTTTAGAGAGCCCAGAAGAGCATGTGTGGATCCCAGACACTGAAACAAGAAGCAGTAACATTGAAGTGGATTGGAGACCCCCAAGATGTTTGAGATGCCAGAGCCGTGGGCTATCAGCTGAGGAAAGCTGCCAACAGGGAGTGAAACCAGCCCAGGAGAAAGAAGTGTGTTGCTGCCAACAAAGATGAAAAGGGAGTTGGAGATCTGAAGACAGCTTTACATCAGCAATGGATGCAGGGTTTGGAGTTTGCACAGCTGGTTTCCTGTCTTGCTTTGGGAATTACAGTTAAGTGAATTTGGATGAATCTCAGAGGAGGCCTTGATCTTTGGACTTTTAACACTGCTAAGACTGCTTTAAACTAGGGGGACTTTTGAAGTTGGACTAAATGTATTTTGCATTATGCTATGTCTAGGTATGGCCTCCATAGACTCATATTTTAGACAAGCCTATGGGGGCCAGGGAATGGAATGCGATGGTTTGTATATGCTTGGGCTAGGGTGTGGCACTATTAGGAGATGTGGCCTTGTTGGAGTAGGCATGTCACTGTGGGCATGGGCTCTAATACCCCAGTCTTAGCTCCCTAGAAGTCAGTCTTCTCTTAGAGGCCTGCAGATGAAAATGTCAGTTCCTCCTGCACCATGTCTGCCTACATGCTGCCATGCTTTTTTCCTGCCTTGATGATACCTGACTGAACCTCTGAACTTATAAGCCAGCCCCAATTAAATGTTGTCCTTATAAAGAGTTGCCTTGGTCATAGTGTCTGTTCACAGCAGTAACTGTGTGAACAGACATATGTTCTGGTTCTAAGACTCATATGTTCAGGTTCTCACCTTAACAAATTGTTTACCTTATTATAGGGCTCTTGGCTATCAAAAATTTTTATTAGCCAGCCTGGATAGAATTCTTTCCTTGCTGGACAGTGGTGGAGCACGCCTTTAATCCTAGCACTTGGGAGGCAGAGGCAGGCGAATTTCTGAGTCTGAGGCCAGCTCGATCTACAGAGTGAGTTCCAGGTCAGCCAGGGCTACACAGAGAAACCCTGTCTCGAAAAACCTAAAAAAACAAACCAACAAAATTCTTTCCTTATGTATGCACTGATGTCTATATGCTCAACATTTTTAGAATACATGATTGTAAAACAAGTCCTGTTTCTTCATATGTCCATGAGTCTATATTACATTAATGTGTTCACATTTGCTCCTATTTTTCTAAGAGGTAAATTGATAGGGGAAGAGGAATGAAGGACATGGTGGGCCAACACTGACTAGCCATTTTGTTGTAAAAGCTTCCATTACATTTTATTACCTCTTAAAAGTTGTGGGTATTAAAGAGAGCCTCACTGATTTGCTTTATGACTCAGCATGAGCTTTTGAAATCTTGTGATAATGGTTTAGAGATGGAACTACGAACTTTTGTACAAAACAGGCTGTCCTAGAACTCACCTTTTAAACTGGACTGGCCTCAAACTTGGAGGAGATCTGCCTGCTTCTGCCACCTGAGTGCTGAAACTAAAGGTGTGTACCACTACTGCTGGCTAGGACTAATGATTTTAAGAAGAGTTCCCAAATTGAACCTCCAACCCTTAAATTAAGAATAGACCAACCACTGCTACCATTGTCGTCACCCTGCTTTCTCTGACACTCAGGACACCCTCATTTTTTCCCATGATCAAGCTCTTGGGAATCTAGAGATGTAAGTTTTAGTTTTTCAGGACAAGGTTTCTCTGTGTAGCCCTGGCTGTCTTGGAACTCACTCTGTAGACCAGGCTGGCCTCGAACTCAGAAATCTGCCTGCCTCTGCCTCCCAAGTGCTGGGATTAAAGGTGTGCACCACAATCGCCTGGCTCGAGATGTAAGTTTTTAATATAGTTTTTCCTGTTTCATTTAAATTGATAGTACATCTGATTTACAGAAATTGCATAAGTTAAAACAAAACATTGCCTTTTCTTTAATTATGGTAGAAGTAAAATTTGATCATTAATGGTCATAATACTTTTAGATCATGGAATATTAAGTTTAGAGGTTTCAGCTTTAAGACAGTGAAGATCATGCAACTGGGACTCTGCTATACCCACACTGATAATCATTGCTATATTATGTCCATAAACAGGTTCCTGGTATAAATTTACCTGTCAATCAGCTGACTTACTTCTTCGCTGCAGTCCTCATTAGTGGTGTGGTACATGAAATTGGACACGGTATAGCAGCTATTAGGTAATTAGACTTAACTTTTTCTTTCCTACTATATGCAAAGAAGCTTTTTATTTAAGAGAACTTCTTCCTAAAATCTTGTATATTTGATGAGTTTTTTTTCTTCTGTAGATATTATCAATGTATACCTACCATTTATTACTTTGGGGAAGCTTCTCTTTTTAAAAAATTAATATATCACTGATAATGCCCTTCTAATAATATAATCATATTTGTATTCTATGTCTTTCTGTCCTTTGCTTTATGTCAGCATGATTATAACCTCAGTGCTTAAAGATTTTCCTTGTCTTTTTTATTTTAAAAGTTATATTATTTATTATGTATGTGTGTGTATATTTGTGCATGCAATGCATGTGCACACATGTGATGTGGCATACTTATGGAAGTCAGAGAACAGCATGTGGAAGTTGTTTGTTCTCCTTCTACCATGTGGGTCCCAGAGATCAAACTCAGGTCATACAATTGACAGAAAGTTTCTTTACCCACTGCCCCATCCTCTAGCATTCTCTGAATTCAACCCTTTGCCACTGCCTCAAAATGTTTTTGCGGGGAAAGAGTACTAGGAAAGAAAGATTTCTCTAACCCAGGTTAACCTCAAACTCAGTGTCTTCCTTCCTCAGTCTTTCAAGTATTAGGATAATAAAGCATGTGCTACCATACATGGCTTTACCTTATCCAGCTGAAACACTTTTCTGCTTCTGTTCATGTCCTATGTTGGGTAGAACAAAAAAACCTGGAAGTGCTAGGTTCAGTGATATCTAAGCCTACCTAGAAACCCAAGTAGGAGATAAGAGGATGAGACCTAGGACTTAACTTTGTTGTGCTGTGCTGAGCTGGTGGTTTTGATACCTAAATGTTTCTTTCTAATTATACTTAACTAAGATGGGAAGAAGGCAAGTATGGTCCCTACTTCCCTGATACCCTATAACAAGTCTGCCATAATCAGAAACATACAGACAGGAATGTTTCATCTTTTGTGTGCATGTCCTTGGTCCATGGAAGGCAAATCATTGTTCTGGAGGAGGAAAATAATCATTATTATTTTCCAATTGCTTATGAACAAATTTAGCTACAGCAAATAGACATTCATCATAACACAGCATATTTGATGTCCACACTACTGCTTTAAAGAGGCAGTTACCTCCAAAAAATTTGACACGTGTATGTGCATGTCGGAGGATGTATACATGTGCCACACATGTGGAGGTTAGAGAACAATTTTCAGGAATCATTTCTCTTCTACCAAGTGACTTCTTAGAATCAAAATTAGGATCTGACATCTTAAGTTCAATTCTAGGAAGCATTTTTATTAACTGAGCAATCTCACCAACCCAAGTTACCTTTTGTAAATCAAAAAAGGTTTTGCTTTCACATGTTTAGCCTTGTAACCTTTAGAGTTTTATATCTACAAACATTATTATTAATAGTTTCATATTTTACAGTATGTTTGTGAAGCAATTTGATAACTTTTTAATACTTTCTATTTATTCTTTGAAATTTTCACATATGTATATAATGTATTTTTTATCACATCTATCCCCTATTCCTTGCCTCCAACTCCTCTCCGATCCCCATATCTCCCTCCAAAGTTCTCCCTACACCACTTAGTAACCTTCTAAGTCAAGTTAGTGCTACCCGTTATCTGCACGGTTGCAGTGCCCTCCACTGGAACATTGGCAATTTCCAAGAAACCATGAACTGCCAGTAGTTTCTCAGCTAGGGGAGACGCCTGAAACACGTCTTCCCCATTCATGATGGACTGTTGACTTGTTTGATCTTATGGCCTTCTGCAGGCAGCCATAGCTGTTGTGAGTTTATGAGTGTACTGACGAGGTTAAATTGACGGTACTAACAGTGTTTTGCAGCAGTCCTTCCCAAACTGGCTCTTAAAAATCTTTCTGCATCCTCCTCCACAATGTTTCTCTGAGCCTCAAGGAAATGGGTGTGTGGTATAAAGATGCCCCATATATGGCTGAACACTCCATAGTTACTTATTCTCTGCACTTTGACCAGTTGTGAATCTGTGTTAAGTGCTATCCACTGCAAAAAAAAAAAAAAAGAATAGCAAGTTTCTCTGATAATGGATGAAAGCATCACTAATCTATGGATATAAAGATAGTTAGTTCTATATCTATTTAGTTTAATTGGAGGCTTACAGTTTCAGAGGTTTAGTCCATTAGCATCATGGCATGGAACATGGCAACATGCATGGTACTGGGAGCAGTAGCCGAGAACTTTATATCCTGATGGGCAGGAAGGCAGGCAGAGAGACTAGGCCTAGCATGGGTTTTTGAAACCTTTAAGCCTACCCCCAGTGACACACTTCCTCCAGCTAATCAGCACCTACTCCAACACCCCCTAGTCTTTCTAATCCTTTTAAAGAGTTCCACTTCCTGGTGACTAAGCACTCAAATTTATGAGTTTATGGAGTCCATTCTTATTAAACCCCCACACTTCCCCACCTACAGGGTTTTATCCAGGTTTAGCAAGTACCAGTTGTAGAACAGACCTGAATCCAATGAGAAATGTACTTATCCACACAATCTTCACAGACTGGGTGATGTTATAGCTCACAAGGTTTACAGCTGGGTAAAACCACTGATCAGTTTTCTGCACTAGCAGACTGTACAGCAAAATTTGCCACTATGAACTATGACTTTTTTATAAATATCTCTACTAACAAAGATTGAATTATATAGTTGTCTTATATATTTACTATTTAGGTAATGCTTTCCTTATTGTATCTGCTTGATCCTAGGAATCTATTAAATCAATAATACGTATTTATAGAAATGAAGTGGTAGAAAACTATTCCTTTTAAGGAATATTTTACCATTAACTCTTTTTAAATGTACTTATCTTAGTATTTGCTGAACAGAAATATGCTTAACATAAATCTTGAGGCTTATTTATAATAACTAAGGTAAATGAATGTGTTTGAATCATAAGTTATATATTCCCCTTTGTCCTCTGAAAATAGGTAATAATAGTACACTGTAACTTTCTTTCTTTCTTTTTTTTTTTTTTTTTTGGTTTTTCGAGACAGGGTTTCTCTGTATAGCCCTGGCTGTCCTGGAACTCACTCTGTAGACCAGGCTGGCCTCGAACTCAGAAATTCGCCTGCCTCTGCCTCCCAAGTGCTGGGATTAAAGGCACCACCCGGCACACTGTAACTTTCTATCATTGACTTCTCAGAATTATTAGCTATTTCTCTCTATATATCAAATTTTAATTATATTCAACAATAGAAAAATCCTAAAGTTTTGACATTTTAAGTGTATTCTAGAGTTTTCTAGAACCTAGGCCAAATCTGTATTACACTATTCTAAAGTTAAGATTTTTAGTGTATATATATACATACATATATATCCAGGAAGATTACTTCTAAAGGTTTGAATTACAGTGAATTTTAAGCTTGCATCATTATTAACTTGACAAATACAATAATATGAGTAAATTCCTTCTTCTTAATGTGATTTTTTTACATGTTTTCTTAGGGAACAAGTTCGATTTAATGGCTTTGGAATTTTTCTCTTTGTTATTTATCCTGGAGCATTTGTTGATCTGTTCACTACCCATTTGCAACTTATATCACCAGTCCAGCAGCTAAGGATATTTTGTGCAGGTAATAAACAGACTTCATTATTTTTAAATGTTTATCTGTTATTTGAGTTTTGATTATCTGTGGTTTTATTGAAAGTAGTCTCATAAAAAATAACATTGGGTTAATAAATTCAGCTTATTAAGAATATCTCAAAAGCAATTTTTAAAAAACAATATAAATTATCAAAAATTTAAATTAAAAGCGGGAGGGAACACTTTATATTTACTGAAGCAAAGGCATGATCAAAGCCTGAAACCACAACAATGAAGAATGTCAACTTAAAAATATACAAAGAAATGTGCAAAAGTCAAGAGAGAACATGAAAAGCCAGTCACATGATAAATCATAATTCAAGAATGAAGAAAAGATGGTGTGCATGGTTGAAGTTCAATCAGACAAAAAGACTCACCTGGAGATATGCAATTATGAAGGGGAGAAACTGGGGGGAAAACAGATCCATCTCAGCTAAAGGAACACAAGACAAATCTACCACAATCCTACATCTCCTTTAATGGAATTATGAAGGCTAATCAAGTATGGAAATAGAATTTTTGAACAGGAGACTTTGGTATAAGATAACTAACATGTAATCAAAAAGGAATTGAGTTGGGGCCAGCAACATGGTTCAGTGAATAAAGACATTTGCTGCCAAGCCTGATGACCTCAGTTCAATTTCTAGATCCTATATGGCAGAAGGGTGAGAATCAACATCTGCAAATTGTCCTCTGAGTTCTGTGTTTATGCCGTGATGTATGAATGCACAAAATAAATAGAATGTAATAAAATTTACTTTAGGTGCTAGAGAAAGCTCAGCAGTTAAGAGCTCTTGATACTCTTGAAGATGATCTAAATTTGGTTCTCAGCACCCACATGGTGGTTCACAGCCCAGGGGATTCAATATACTGATCTCCACAGGCTATGTAGGCAAAACATTCACACATGTAAATGACTCAATAGTTTTCTTTAAAAAACTGGGAATGGGTAAAGTAAAAAGCCGTAAGTCTGCATTCAAGATTCTCTTACTTCTTTATGGAATGAATAAGATGATATACTTGAGATTAAGTTAGAAATTGTGGTTTGAGTGTCATAGTATACAGTAAATGATCTGAAAAATACATTTAAACATTTCAAGTGATCATATTGAGTGAAAGCATGAAGCAGACAAAAGAAAAAAAATACTTTATATCAAGTGATAATATAAGCCAACTTTTAAGTTTTTTAAAAGTTTTTCTTATTTTATATTTTATTATATTATATATATATAATTATATTATTATATATTTTTCTTATATTACTATAAATTACCACAAACACAAATGAGATCAACTCTACTGTTAAAATGTCAGGCTGAGATATAGTTCACTATAGGTTGCTTGTGTAGTAGCATCTATGAGACCCTGGGTTTGATCCCTAATACTAAAAAAGAAAAAATCCTTATTTAGATTTTAAAAGTATACCAAGTTTGTGATGTTTAGAAAAATCTATCTAAAAATTACTATAATACCGGAAAATAAAAATACAGAATACCCTATGCAAATGATATATCAGCTAATAATAAGGAATGTAATCTACCATGAAAACTAATAATATTACTCTTATTCTATGAAATGCCAAATCACCAAATGAAGTAGAAAAAGTACAAGCCGGGCAGTGGTGGCACATGCCTTTAATCCCAGCACTTGGTAGGCAGAGGCAGGCAGATTTCTGAGTTCGAGGCCAGCCTGGTCTACAGAGTGAGTTCCAGGATAACCAGGGCTACATAGAGAAACCCTGTCTCGAAAAACCAAAAAAAAAAAAAAAAAAAGGAAAGAAAAAGAAAAAATACAAAGAGAATTATAAATATAATGTATTTATCTCATAACATGATATTAAAATAAGTAAGGTCATGGGATTTTATAATAAGATTTATAAAAATAGGTAAGTCATATTGTATGTTATGAACACAGGAGATAATTTCTTTTTAAATTCCCATGAAATTGACAGAAATTTATATATTCACAGATCTCAAATCTAAATAATAGTAGGAAAATTTAGAAATTTGTCTTAGTCACAAATTTGATTCATTTAATTAAAATCAATAGTTAAGTTTTAATAATTAATCATAACTTAATTATATGAAAGTTAATATAATATATAACTAATATTAATATATTTCATAAATATAAAGCTTTACTAATAGAAGAGTTCAATGCCATATACAGTTGTATAATCAGAAAAGGAAATAAGTCAGTCAGGCAATAAACTTAAGAAATGTGAAAACAAGTATAAAATAGATAGGAATAATGGGATAGGGGCTGGTGAGATGGTTCACTTGCTGCTCTCACAAAGGACCTACACTCACATGGTGGTTTACAACCATCCATAACTCCAGATCCAGGGAATCCGATAAGAACTCTTTTGACTTCCAAAACTACTACACATATAGGTACATATATACAGGGAAAAGAATCACACACTCAAAATCAATCTTTTTTTAAAAGAAATAATAGGGTAATTAATAAATACAGAATCAAAATATAAGAAATTATAGAAGAACCAGAGTGATAAATCTAAGAGTTATTTGGAAAAAAAAAATAAGCAACAGGAAGAAACAGCTATTGATAGGATTTGTATTTAGATTTGTGAATAATATCTGATAAACAGGAAATTGTAGCTATTGACAGAATCTGTATTCACATTGATGAAGAATATCTGATATCAATTGTTAGTGGTTTTTGCTCATCTATGAAAAATGTTTTTAGAAAACTGAATATAAGAATGGGGAAATAGCTGAAATTAATTAGGCTATTAAATGCAAAGAGGAGAAATTATAAAAGTTTTATAGGTAGAATAATTCAAAATCCTGAATAAATTGTTTTTTTAAAAAAGATTATAAAGTGTGATAATATATACCACAATAGTCAAGAAAATACCTGTCATATAAAGCACATTTTAAATATTAAATAATTGCTGAATGTCATTATAGTAGCCCTTTTCCTTTTATATTATAGTACAATAGTTATAATACATCATGAACCATGTTTATTTATACAATAACTATTGTCTGGTAATGTTTATGTTGAGGCAAATATTTAGGTATACACAACAGTTAGGATATATTTTATAATATTAACTTTTCAAAGTACTATCATAATTTAAGTTTACTTTTATACTAATGCATTTATACTGCATGCATAGTACTCAGAAAGTATTCTCAGTTATTTCTCCACAATTTTATTTCATATACATACGCATTTTATCAGAAGTAGAGACAAAAAGGAAAACAAAATTTTAGCATAAACTTTTCAGATCATATACAAAAAACTACTAAGCCTTTTTTCATTATTTGCTTGTCAGAGATGGATTTTTGTGGAGGGTTTGGGTTTTTGTTGTTGTTGTTTTCTTCTTTAGCATATGGTCTCACTATGTACTCCAGGTTCATCTTGAACACCAATTCTTTCTGCCTCCACCTTCAGAATTGAGAAAGTAGACATATACTAATACCTAGCAGAAATTAAGTTTTGTTTTATTAAGAAAATATAGCACAGATGTATATGTAATATATATTTATACATATATATAATAGAGCCATATATGATATGTAGCATATATCATAATTATATTATATAACATATTATATATAATATATAAATATTACAGGTGAGCTATATAATTAATATATTTATATTTTATTATACATTACATATTATAATTATATAAACATATATTTATGCACTAAGTATTGTATATAATATATATTATATATTATATTGTAATATATATTGTAATAAAACACAAAATATGGTATATTTCAACAATGCAAGGGTGATATAATATTGGAAATATTTGAAAATGAAAGTTTACTATGGGGAGATTTTCCCTAACATGTTAAGACTAAAAATCAAAATATATTAAAATTTTTAAAAGCATACTTAATAAAGGGAGTATTTGAATATTTCATGTATTTATTTATTAATTAAAGAACAAAATAATCAACTATTACTGATATAACTGTTGGCATATATATTAAGTATGTCTTGTGGTTAAATAAAAGGAAATAAACAATTATAACGGGGCTGGGAATTTAGCTCAGTGGTGGGTTATTTGTACAATATTCAAACACAAAGTATAAAATTTAAAAGGAATAGACTTTCTTCCTAGATCTGACATTAGCCTGGCTGAGGGTAGGTAAATCAACTGAAATAAAGTATAGAAAAGTTCAGTAAAGAACCTAGATGGGAAATTTATATTCAGTCAGTAACTAGACTGGAGAACACAGGAGGAAACTCAGGGAATGTTCGGTAACTCCTGCCGGAAGTTGCGCAATCAAGTAGGCATGCGCAAAAGAAGCTTTCTTGATGGTCTGTCGCAGTTTAGTGACGTATCCAGTGGCGTGTCCAGTGACGAATCCATTTGACGCCTCCCTCGCATGCGTCTTGTCCTCCGGAAACACCTATAAGCGTCCGGAAACACCTTCGTGCCTCAGACGACGGGCGGCTTTTCTCCGAAGCGCACGCTTTTCGTCAGGCTCTCGGGTTTGTTTTTTTTGTTGTTTGGGGGTTTTTCTTGTTTTGTTTTTGTTTTAATTAGCACGCAAGCGCGTGCTTTTTCTTCCCTGATTTTTTTTCTACTCCACAGCTCTCTCCCACCTGCTTGCTACCCAGGACCGTTACGCGGCTCTCCGCCATGGCCTCAGAGACTGAGAATATTATGTGTCTCACCACAGAAAACGCAGAGATTCCCGCTGATTTTGTGGAGCTGCAGCCACTCGATGATATCGAGACGGTTTCTTTGGAAACCAATGTAAGCCAAACCATCGAAGTGTATGGAGATGTAGGTGTCGATTGGGCGCATGGTGGCCACTACCACTCTCCTCTGTTAGCTCTGCAGCCACTTGCGGGCAGTAACCTGAGTAATGGAGATCATGATCAGGAAATGATTATCTTGCAGACACGAGAGGAGGTAGTGGACTACCAAGACTCAGACAACCTACTATTCGATACTGAATTTGAAAGCAAGATGATTTTCCCAGTTAATGAAGACGACTATCTCCAGCCGACCACTGCCTCTTTTCCTGGCTTCATGGCGGCAGAGAATGGTCAGGATGAGCTCAGCCCCTATGGAGGGAATCTCTGTAGTTTGACGACCTTGATAGAGGCAGATGCAGACGAGATTGTGAACCCTGACCTGGGTGACAAACAGTGGGAGCAGAAGCAGATACAAATCGATGGTCTTGATGGAGAATTTCCCTTCAACATGTGGGAAGATGACAATGAAAAAGAAGATCCCCTGACTGAAGTACAGGCTGGTGAGTCACCCCCCGATTATTCTGAGTATATGACAGGAAAGAAATTTCCTCCTGAAGGAATACCTGGCATTGATCTTTCTGATCCCAAACAACTGGCAGAATTTACTAGCATGAAACCCAAAAAGCCAAAAGGAGACTTTCCAAGACCTGTAGCATGCTCTCATAAAGGCTGCGGGAAGATGTTCAAAGATAATTCTGCTATGAGAAAGCACTTGCACATTCATGGGCCTAGAGTGCATGTCTGTGCAGAATGTGGTAAAGCTTTTGTTGAAAGTTCGAAGCTGAAACGTCATCAGCTGGTTCACACTGGAGAGAAGCCCTACCAGTGTACCTTTGAAGGCTGTGGGAAACGCTTTTCCCTGGATTTCAATTTGCGCACACACGTGCGAATCCATACTGGAGACAAACCCTTCGTGTGTCCATTTGATGCCTGCAACAAGAAGTTTGCTCAGTCGACAAACCTGAAGTCGCATATCTTAACACATGTTAAGAACAAGAATGACTAGTAAAAAGAAGTGAGAAGATCCTTTGGAAGCCTGGGAAGTATTTTACAGTAATGTGCCTGGGAATAAATATGCCCCTTGTTTGAATAGTTTCTAGGAAATGAATTGTACATATTTGAGGTTTATGTTTTGATAGAGCAAAAGTTAAAAGTTTTATGTTGGTAAGATGCTCTATTTTATACTGCAGTGGTGGTTTTTCGAAGTTCAACAGGAGACTAATTCACAAACCTCATATTAATGCTAAAGATGGCCTGCATTTTTTTATGCTAGAGGGCTTTTCTTTGAGATATTTGGTTATCAAGAGACTAAACCGTGAGCCTCATATTCCGAAGATATCCTATCTTCTACAGTGGTAATTTTATGAAACTTGGTTTCAACAAGAGACTAGTTCAAGAACTAGATATCCCAAGATGACCTGTTTTATTCTACAGTGGAATTTTTATGAAACTTGCTTTCAGTGGACTAATTTAAATGGTCTGTGCTATTTTGCACTGAAGTTTTTTGAGAAGTTTGATTTCAACAGACTAAATTAGAAACCCTATTGTTGCTAAGATATTCTACATTATTCTGTGAGATGATTTTTTGTGAAGTTTGGTTTCAACGGGACTAAATCACAAACCTCATATTGCTCAGGTATCCTATCTTCTGCAGTGGTGTCATTTTGAAGCTTGGTTTGTTTCAACAAGAGACAATTTCACGAACTTCGTATGCTAAAATGACCTGTATTATTCTACAGTGGTATTTTTATGTAAATTGCTTTCAACAAACTTCATTTTGCTAAGGTGCCCTGTATTACTCTGAAGTAGTGTTATTGTTAAGTTGATTTTGACGTAGAAAACTTATGAACCTCAAAACATAATGTTGCTAATATGCCCTGTTTTGCTCTGTAGTGGTGTTTTTTGAAGTTTGGTTTCAACAGGAGACTTAATTCATGAGCCTCCTATTTTTGTTAAGATGTCCTGTCTTATTTTGCAATGGTTTTTCTGTGAAATTTGGTTTTGACAAGAGAATAATTCATGAAATTCATGTCAAATTACATTTCTTTATACAACTATGTGAAAATGGGACTTTTGCATTCTCATAAATAGGAAGTTTGCTTACTATGTTTTAAAATTGTGTATTCTAAATGCTCATGTTTATACTTTTAGGAATATGTTTAATAATTGTATATCTGATTTCTGTAGAGTTGATGTTTGTAAAAGTAGTCTTTAAAAAATTGACAGTTTTATCCATTCATATTATTCTGATAAAAATAACTTTATAGGTTTGTTTGCTGCCTTAAGTTTGGTAGTATTCCTTCATACCAAGACATTTTGCATAGTTTCTTTTATCTTTATTGTACAGTATAGAATGTTAGATGACATAATTTTATTAGCCAGTTTAAACATCTTTTAGTCACTTTATCCCATCCTTGAATACTATTTAGAGTGCTGGTGTTGAGTGTAATTTCTTTGATCAATTAAAAGTAGTGTTGATTGCATAATATTTTGTCTTCAAATTGATTGCAAATTTGATGTATACTTTCGTGTAATAGAAAAAGCAAAAATAAAACTGTTTGAAGAGTTAAAAATAGCTTGCCTGTGTGAATATGATAGCTAAAAAATAAGGCAAAGGGAAACTGCTGCTGGTATCAGTTCAGTAACAGCCAGAAATGCTAACAAAACATCTGGTAGTGCACAAGATGCCTGTGACAACAAATTATCTAGTTAAACTGCCCATTGTCCCACTATTAAAAAACTGCTCTGGAGAAAGTAAAAGTGGTATTTCAAAAATGTACTTAAAAACAAATCATTATTATATGAGATTGTTTAGATGAATGAAATGTATCTGCTTCACACATGTCTACTCTTACTTAGTCGTCATTAGCAAATTCAGAATTTAGAGTAACAGTACCAACTGCAAGCCTGGAAGACAATTGGAAAGTCATCTGTACATTGCTATTTTGTAACTCTACTTTTACTCACTTGTCCATGCCTGTTTCTGTTACTAGAAACAGGGAAGGAAAGGGCAATGTTATGAATTAGATTGTCCAAAGGAAATTTTAGTACATGAATTAGAGATTTTCATTGGTTTTGATTGTTCTGTTTTTAGACAAGTTCTTACTTGGTAGCCTAACTAAGCTGGGTTGAAATTCACAATGTAGTCCAGGCTGGCTTGTAATTATGCCCAAGCTTCCCAGGTGCTGGGATTATAGGCATGACGCACCATATTGAGATTGATTTTTTTCTTTTTCTTAAAATATTCTGTTTATTTAGTGAAGTTAGGGGAGATGTGAGTATGGCAGTGTGAATGCCATGGCATATATACAAAGATCAGAAGACAATTTACAGCAGTCTGTTCTATTCTTCCATATGGGACCTGGGGATGTCACTCAGGTCATCAGGCTTAGGAACAGGAACACTTAACCAGTTTAGTAATATCATTGGGCCTGTGGTTTTGTTTTTTTTTTTTTTGTTTTTTTTGTTTTGTTTTGTTTTTTAATGAAGCTTTAAAAGTACTATAAGAAAACATGTATTATTATAAAATGGGAAAAATTTACTACAAAAGGTCCAATTAACCATATCCAGGTTTCTGTTTGGAGTTTGGGGCCAGCTTGGGTTATGTAGGAAAATCCTGATTTTTTTGTTTTGTTTAATCAAAAGCTAAATTTATGATAGCATGGAATATTATTTGGGGAAGAGGAACCATGTAAATTATTTCTCATTCTCTTATACATGCATTCTTTGTGTCATTACAGATTTTATTGGGTGAGGATCACTAGATAGACATTTCAGCTTTTGCAAAATTCTTGACACATGTACCAAAAATCTAGAGCCCAGTATTCTGTTTCTTTTTAAACAGTTATTCCAGTGAGGTGCCAGTTTCAAACTTGGTGGCAAATTTTCCTTAAGAGTGATATTTCAAAAATGTACTTAAAAACAAATCATTAATATATGATTTTCTACCTCAACGGTGTCATCTTTGCTTCAACTGATTCAGAATTTTACATCATATATACCATGATCACATTTTTCACTTTCCACAGCATATTATCAAAATTGTTAGGGAAACCGGACAGCCAGAGAGCCATGACTAGAGATGTTCAGAAGGCACACGATATGAAAAGTCTTTTTTGAGAAACACATTCTACTAAAAGCATGAGACTAAAAGTAGTTTAAAATACTGACAGAAATGCATGAACACTAGCCCCCTTCTATAGACTGTTACATTGAACCCCCCCGATAATCATAACTTTCCTGATTCAGTATCTCACTCTACTCTCCTTGTGCCAAAAAAATAAAAAATGATTTTACCACATTAAAAAAAACTTTACACTTAAAAATAAGATAAGGTAGATTTTTTCCCTTTTTATAGATGTTTCTAGAACTATTAAAACACTGCATTTACGAAACAGTTGATAAAAATAACTCTATGGAAAATTGGGCAGTGGTGGCACAAGCCTTTATCCTAATACTAGTAGGCAGAGGCACGTGGGTCTCTGAAGTCACATCCAAGCACTCAGGAGGCAGAGGCAGGTGAATCTGAGTTTGAGGCCACCCTGGTCTACAGAGTGAGTTCCAGGACAGCCAGGGCTACATAGAGAAACCTTGTCCCAAAAAACAACAAAAAAAATTGCTCTGAATTGTACAAAGAAAGGAGACAGACCGGATGCGTGATTCATCAGTTCGTGGTTCACAAGGCTTCTTTTTTCATACTTCAGAAACTGGACCCTCATTTTCGGTCTCTTGGTTTTCAGCAGATAGATCTTTAGTTTCTTGGTCAACCACTTCAGTGTGTTTGTCCTTTGTTCCCTTCTTCCCTTTTGTTTGCACTTTTTTGTCTAATGATCACCCCAGTACTACCTCACCCACAATCCTTTGAGATCTATTTTGGCTTCCGGGTAGCCATTGGCAGGAGCAGTCCCCTGGTGGAGAAATGCTTGAGCTTTTTTTTCTACAGCAGTGGCTCACCTTCCCAGGGTCTGGTCTGTACTGCTCTCACACATGCATTCTTACTTAAGATACACAAACAGTAAAAGCAAGCTGTTTATCACAAGCCTGTTAAAAGTAGGTTAAGCGATCGTTAATGGGGAACTTTATAAATAAGTTTAAAGGCCAGAGAAACGGCTGAGCCCTTAAGAGAATGTATTCTAGATGCAAATTCAGTTCCCAGCACCCACATAGTGCGGCTTGCAACTGCCTGTGCCTCCAGCTTCAAGGGATCCCATATATCTGGCTTCCACAGTTTCATTCATACACATTAAATAAATTAAAAGGTTTTTGTTTGTTTGAGACAGTTTCTCTGTGTAGCCAAGACTGACCTGGAACTCACTCTATAGACCAGGCTGGCCTCAAACTCAGATTCGCCTGCTTCTGCCTCCTGAGTACTTGGATTAATGATGTTCTTCACCACCAGCTAATTAAAAGATTTTTAATGATAGATTTAAAAACGATAGATTTATAATTCATGTGTACCAGATATAAGACATGGGATCGATGAGACAGTAAATATGGAAAAAAATGTCAAAAGTAAGCAAACTATATTTGATAAATAATTTGATACCGAGGCATTGAACATAAAGGTTTTTGCTGCCTGAGTCACCAGACCCCTCATGGGAGAAGGCAAAAACCTTCTTAACAAATTGCCGTTTAACTTCCATTTGTATACTATGTGCACGCATGAGCATGCACACACACACATATACACACTACAATAATATAATAATATAATTTATATTTTTAAATTGATAAGCGTTTTCAAAATCTTTCAAATTTCTTTGTGTGTGTGCAGGCACTTATACAGCACATCTACACGAGAGCTGTGAGTCAGAGGACAGTTTCCAGAAGTCGTTTTTTAGGATCCCATCACGGGATCCAGGTATTTGTTCAAAATATGTTATGTATATGTATGGAAATAGCACCCTGATGCTCACCGTTATATATAGTTACTATAAATTAGATGTTAAAAGAGTAGCTTCTAAACCTGGAACTGGGAATTTTGCTTAGCTGGTAAAGTATTAGTCCCACAAGCATGACAATTTGTATTCAGATCTTCAGCATCCATAGAAAAGGCCGTGAAGACACTTGAATATGTGAGCTCCAGATTCGGCAAGAGACCTTATCTCAAAAAATGAAGGGAAGTGGGGGGGGGAGGTGGAGAATGATCGAAAAAGATACCTGATGTCAACTCATAACCTCCACACTCATGCACACACATGTACATGTAACCACATATTCACATGAAAAAAAACCACTCTTCATGGTTTGTTCTTTTGTGTTCTATGATATAAGGTACCAACTATCCTGATGTTACTCTTCATAATGATTTATTAAAATTAAAAGTCTCTTTCAGAGTCCTACTAGGGATTTTAGACCAAAATTTAGAACTTTTTAGAGGTAGGTGTGTGTGTGTGTGTGTGTGTGTGTGTGTGTGTATGGTGTATGCAATGTATACATGGGTGCATTCACCCAAGCATGCACAGTGGAGTCCAGAGATGTCCACCTCTCCCCCGCCCCACCCACTGAACTTAGAGCTCATGGTTTTAGAATGGCTAGCCAGTGAGCCACCAGGATATGTCTGTCTTCACCCCCAGGGCTGAAATTACACATAGGTGACCCTGTGCGTGGCTCTTATGCAGATTTAGAGGTCTCCGTTTGGGTCAGATTTTAGTATCTGAAAAGAAGGCAGACTCCTAGTGAGCGTCTGTCTGCTGCAATAAGTAGATCCCTCTGCCTCACCACTCCTGGTCTATTTATAATCCTCTCAGGATGCCCATGTATTATGAAGTCCAGCAAACTCTATTATATTCTTGTCACTATTGAATTTAACAGTTGCTCTCTCTCTTTTCAGGTATATGGCATAATTTTGTCCTTGCTCTCCTTGGTATTTTAGCTCTTGTTCTCCTCCCAGTAATCCTCTTGCCTTTTTACTACACTGGAGTTGGGGTACTTATCACTGAAGTCGCAGAGGTAAATAATGAATTGCCCTAGAGGGTTCTTTCGCCAGATGTTGTACTGTAACACAATTCTTTCAACTGCAAACAGTGTAGGATTTTTTTTAATGCGATAAAAGTTATTTTCTGTTGTTGTTTTCTGCACAAAAGAAGTAGTATCAAGATTTTATGTATGTGGTTTATTAATCAAATGCATTATCTTTACTGTTTCTTTTATTTCTGATTTTCAGTACTGCTATGAAGAATGGTAGGCTACCCAGCCCAAACATTTTGTAGTTTTTAGTTAATGCCAATTCTGTATTTTCTTTGCTACTATGATGCTATCAAGTCTGTGTTCAGATCTTTTCAAGGAGAAAACTACCTTTGTCTACACATGTGGAGCTGTGTCTCTATAAAAACTAATCTTGTGGCTTTTGTCCACTAAGGATATAGTAAATTGAATTTGTAAAAATCTTGAATTTGTAAAAATTTTATTTAATGTTTATATGTGCCACACATATGTGGGTACCAGCAAAGGCCTTCTAGAAGAGGGTGTTTAATCCCCTGAAGGTGGAGTTAGAAGTGGTGTGAGCTGCCTGACATTGGTCCTATGGATTGAAGTAGGTCCTCTGGAAGAGGAACAGTGTCCACAAAGTCTAGCAGAAGGTGGAGGATCCCCTGGAGCTTGAGTTAGAACCAAGTGTGAGCCATCTGACATAGCGGGAACCAGAGCTTAACTGCCCAGCTACCACTCTTGAATTTTAGTTAGCAAGTAATTTTGTGCATGTTTATAGTCTGTGTTCATGTGGGTGCATACATATGTGTGTGCAGATGCACATGTGTGTTGATACATATGGAGGCCAGAGGTCGACATCACATGCTTTCCTCAGTGCTCTCAATAAAAATACTTATTTATGAAACAAGGTCTCACTATGTAGCCCTAGATGCCCTGAAACTCACTATGTAGAGTAGACTTGCCTTGAACTCATTGAGATCCTCCTGCCTTTGCCTCCTCAGTGCTGGGATTAAAGGTATAGACCACCATACCTATGTCTCCCCCCACTTAAATTTTTAAAAATTGTAATATTTTATGTGTATGGGTGTCTGTGCCTGCCTATTGCCCATGGAACCAGAAAAGGTTTTTGGATCCACTGGAATAGAGTTACAAACAGTTGTGAGCCACTGCATGGGTACTGGGAATAAAATCTTGTGTTCTAAACCTCTAAGCCATCTTTCTAGCCCTCTTCAATTTTTGAGATAAGGCCTCTCACTGAACCTGAAGCTCACCAATTCCTCTGTGCTAACTGGTGAGGAAGCCCCAGGGATCTTACTGTTTCTGCCTCTTCAGTATTCTGATTACAGGTATAAGCTACTATATGATTGGGGGTGGGGGTGGGGGGATGGGGATCCAAACTCAGGTCTTCATGATTGCACAGCAAGCATTTACAAACAGCTGCCTCCCCAGCTTCTGTTTCTTTATAATTTGGATTTGTTTTGTTTCCTTTTGTTCTTTTTTCATTAAGGCTTACACAGATTTTTCTTTTTTAAAAAAAATATTTTGAGACAAAGTATGGCTGTATAGCCCTGGCTAGCCTCAGACTCACAGAGGTCTACCGGCCTGTGCTTCCCCAGTGCTGAAATTACAGGGGTGTGTCACCACACCCAGCTTATTTATTTATTTATCTTTAGAATGACAGCATTTGTTTACATTCATTAGGTACATATTGGTTCGGTTTGTTTAATTTTAAAGATTTATTTATTTATGTATTTTATGTACATGAATGCTCTGTCTTCATGAACACCAGAAGAGGGCATCAGATTCCATGATAGATGGTTGTGATCTACCATGTGGTTTGTGGGAATTGAACTCAGGGCCTCTGGAAGAGCAGCTGGTACTGTTAACTGCTGAGCCATCTCTCTAGACCCTGTTTGTTTTGGTGGTTGTTGTTGTTTTGTTTGTTTGAATTTAAAAAATATAATTCTTTGAGAAATTTATATAGTGTATTCTGATGATCATATTTATTCCTCCCCTTAACTCCTCCCAGATCTACCCCCACCTCCTTGTCATCTCCCTCATGTCCCCCTTTTTCCCATTTAATTTGCTAACCCATGGGCTCCAATTTGTGCTGACTAGCTATATACTTCTGGATGTGGGGCCAACCACTGGAGAGTGGTGTGTTGGTCTTTTTTTTTTCTGTTAAAAAGTTTGGGGTTTTTTCTTTTTGTTTGTTTGTTTGTTTGTTTGTTTGTTTGTTTTACTTTAAAATTTCACTTTATGTGCATGGTTGGGTGTTTTGCCAGCATGTATGTCTGTGTACCACTTGGGTGCCTAGCACCCATGAAGGACAGAGGAGTGCATTGGATTCCCTGGAACTTGAGGTAATAACTGTTGTGAGCCACTGTGTGTGTGCTGGTAATGGAATAACCACTGAGTCATCTCTCCAGTCCCTCATAGTGCTTTTGATCTTCATCCTTTTGTGCTGCAGGGGATCAAACTCAGGACCCAGTTCATACTAAACCTGTGCTGTATACCTTGCTGCTTTGTTATTTTAATATTAATAATCAACAATTAGGGGTTTTTTTCCTTTTGAAGTTGTGAAAAGTCCATAATCATGGTGAACTGGGGAATGCAATTCTAACTGTTTGGCAATAAATTTTGGATTTAAAGATGGGTTATTTTATGCATTAGTCAAAATATTCTGCTTCGAAGAAAACTCCAAGCTGAATGGAAAGGAATGGGAGCATGGAGAGGGTGGCTAGAGGGAGGTGGGGCATGAATAAGTTAAAAATACATTGTGTGAAATTCTCAAAGAGCTAATAAAACTGTTTAAAAGTATTCCACTTTTGCCGGGCAGTGGTGGCGCATGCCTTTCATCCCAGCACTTGGGAGGCAGAGGCAGGCAGATTTCTGAGTTTCAGGCCAGCCTGGTAAACAGAGTGAGTTCCAGGACAGCCAGGGCTACACAGAGAAACCCTGTCTCGAAAAAATAAAAGTACTCCATTTATAATTAGTGCAGTGTCTATTACTGTGGCTAATATAGATTGATTATAGCTTGCTATTATACATTGTCTGCTTTGATTTTCCTTCCTCCCAAGGACTCACCTGCCATTGGACCCAGAGGCCTTTTTGTGGGAGACCTTGTCACTCATCTACAGGATTGTCCTGTTACTAATGTGCAAGATTGGAATGAATGTTTAGACACCATTGCATATGAACCCCAAATTGGGTACTGTATAAGTGCATCAACGTTGCAACAGTTAAGCTTCCCAGTTAGAGGTGTGTGTATTTTCTTGCTATAACACAATACTTGAAGTACTAGTCCCTTCTATTACTAATCCTGAGATAATATCTATAGATTTATTTTGTTTTAGTTGTTTTAAAGCAAGTAACTAAAGTAAATAGGTACAAATTAATAGATATTCTTCTTTGTGTGTTGGATATTTGTTTCCTTTAATATATAGTTAAACTTCTAATTTCTTTTATAATATTATATTTGACTTTTAGAATTCTATCAGTTCTTTCTGCCTTCAAAACAGTTTTGTTCAGGCTGGATATATAACTCAGTGGTATAAGATTTGTATAATGTGTACAATGACCTGAGTTCCATTTCTAGTACTACTGAAAAATGAAAATTTAAAAAATATGTAAAATCAGCATCCAAGCTCAGTGGTATGGACTCTGTGTGTAACTCAGTAGTAGGGTGTTTGCCTCCCTGTACATGAGGTGCAAAGTTCAATCCACACTACAACCAAAAACAAAACTAAAAATCAAAACAACCATCAACTGTAATTGATTAATTATGCTTGAGTAAGTACTCCAGTAGAGTATGATCTTTATATATGTATAGACACATAATTTTATCTAAATTTAAGTCTAATTTTAAAACAGGTTTTAAAATTTTGAGGTTATAGTATATTTACAACATTTCTTTCTTTCCTCCCTCCAAACCCTCCCATATACCCCTCTCCATTCTCCTTCAACATCATGGCTTCTTTTTTCACTAATATTGTGTGCATATATGTCTATGCTTATACATATATATTCCTATATATAACTGTTCAGTCGTATACTGCTACTTGTATGTACATTTTCAGGGCTGACCATTCAGCACTGGACAACCAGTTGATGTACTTTTTCTTGGGGGAGACAACCTCCTCCACTCACAGCTATGTGTAATATTTTAAACATAACAAGAAGCGATTTTTTGCAGAAGCGTTTTTCCCTTTGGTGCTGGATGAACACTGAGTTAAACCTGTATATACTACTGTGTGAACAGATAACAAACTAATAGCTAACATCCAAGGAAATGAGATCAGTGTACAAGCATTTTATAATACACAGACATGCGATAAGGAAAAATGAAAACAAATCCAAGGATATTGGGAAACAAAAGGCCCTCTGCACATTTAGAAGAATCTCTTCCCTTTTCTTGCTAAAATATATCTTAACAGAGGCAGTTCTAGTAGTTATATGAGGATGCTAACATGTCTAAACCTATCTGATGTAGCATTCTTTAATGTCTATTTTATATAGCAGAAATCCAGGGAGGTTACCTTGACTTCCAAAAAGACCTGAGAATTGGGTTTGTTTTCTTGTACAGCAGGTGAAATGGCTGAAGCAAGTCTCTTCTGAGAACCTGCTACATTTATTTAACTCTGAAAAGGTTGCCTCCCAAATTCTTTTCAGATTTAGTCTTCCATATATCCATCAAACTTTTATTATAAGACATTTTATTTCTACATTTCTTTATTGAGTGCGTGTATGCATATGTTGGGGGCAGGGGTATTGCACACTCTTGGAAGTCAAGAGGACAAGTCTCTCCTTCCAACTTTGTGTGGGTTCTGGGAATGGAATTCAGATCATCAGGCTCTCATAGTTGGGTGACAAGCATCTTTACTCTCTAAGCTGTTTCACCAGTCCCTACCCTAAGTTTTTATACTTTGAGTTTTATTGCATTGTTATGCTTTTTAAATTTCTACAGCTTATCACAATCCCTGTTTTTTTTTAAATGTTATGTGTTTATTGAAAATGGTGTCACTTGTTTTCTCAAAATTTACATAGTCTGTCATTTTCAAGTTTAAAGGCTTGATTTGATTCAGTAGTCTATCTTTCTCTTTCTTTCACACCTTTCTTGGCTTCTCCTTCCCTCACCCTCTCTTCCTCCTTCCTCTCTTTGTCTCTGTCTGTCTGTCTCTCTCTCTTTCTTTTCATCCCCTTTCCTTCATTCCCTCCTTCAAAGTATTTCACAGGTAATGCTTGGTACTATGATCGAGAGATGTCAGATGTCTGGTGTTCTATTATTATTTTTATTGTTATTATTATTATTGTTTTTTTGAGACAGGGTTTCTCTGTGTAGCCCTGGCTGTCCTGGAGCTCACTCTGTAGACCAGGCTGGCCTTGAACTCAGAAATCCGCCTGCCTCTGCCTCCCAAGTGCTGGGATTAAAGGTGTGCGCCACCACTGCCCGGCTATCATTATCGTCATTATCATTATTATTATTGAGCAATCTGATTCTTTAAGGTTGAAACATTTTCCAGAGGTCCTTACTCCCAAAAGTCACTTTTCAGAAGTCCATAGGCCCTTCTTTACTGTACTTCAGGAAGAGGCTGGAGTTACTATCACAGAACCTAAAAACTCACTCTAGCATTAGTTTTATGGGTAGGTCAGTTTATAAAGACAACTACTAACCTGGACTAAGTGCAGCTGCTTTTTTATTTTCTTTTTGTTTTTGTTGTTTTTTTTTTTAATTTTACTTATTCACTTTATATCCCTCTCACTGTCTCTCTCCCAGTCACCTCCTCCCACAATTCTTCCCCCATCTCCCATCCCCCATCCCCTCCTCTCTTACTTAGCAGGTTATGTTCTTCTTCTTATGTTTTTTTTCTTTTTCCTTTTTTTGCTTATTTCTTTTGGACAGGATCTCATGTAGACCAAATTTGTCTTGAACTCAGTACATAAAGATGAGCTTAAACTTCTGGTCCTTCTGCCTTTACCTCCTATGTGCTGGATGAAATCCTGAATCAAATCAAGCCTCTAAATATATGTATGTGCCACCTTGCCTGGCTTATAGGATGCCAACAGTCAACCCCACAGTCCTACATGTACTACAGAAACACCACAACAACTGAGCCTATCCTAACACCAAGCACCTGAGTGCAACTTTTTGTTTCAAATTGGGTACTCTTTTAGTATTATAAAATCGGACTATAGCCTGTAGCTGTCTTAAGTAGATACTGCATTATCTGTTGCTTTCAGATATATTCTACTTACTGTTTTTGTCTTTTAAAAGCAGAATTTTTATTACAAATGTACTTCTATGTAATCTATGCTAAGCATTGTGTTTCTCTTTAGCATACAAACGACTAGATGGTTCTACTGAATGCTGTAACAATCACAGCCTCACAGATGTGTGCTTTTCCTACAGAAATAATTTTAATAAACGTTTGGTAAGTTGTCCCAAAGGCAATCTTACTTGTCTGATATGATTATTAAAATAAATATATAAAGCTAAAACAAAAGCTATAATACCTTCTGTCTTTATCTACTTTGTGTCATTTAATTAAAACCTCCATGTTTCAGATGCCACATCTGAAAATGCATAGTGATATGATATCTTATATAGCAAAACATGGAATATTGAAATTTATAGTAGGTGCACATTAATAAATAACATGTTTTAATATCAAGGTCATTCCTAATCTGCTGGGTGACAAGAAAAGCATGAAGGAATGCAAACAAATACTTGTTAACATTGACTGATATTGTATTTTTAGCATACGTGTCTGCCTGCCCGGAAAGCAGTTGAAGCTACGCAAGTTTGTCGAAGTAATAAAGATTGCAAAAGCAGCTCAGGTTCAAGCTTCTGTATAGTACCATCCTTGGAAACTCACACTCGATTAATAAAAGTGAAACATCCCCCACAAATTGATATGCTTTATGTTGGGCACCCACTGCATCTTCACTACACAGGTAGGTACTACTGGAGTAGCTCTTCAAAGTCGTTAGGATCACATATGTTCTCAGTTGCTTTGATTCCATTTATTATAAATTTATTATAAATTCCATTTATTATAAATAAAGTTTTATTAACTTGTTCTTAAGTACTAAGTGGAATTAAAGTAACAGAAAAAATAACCAGCCTATGGAGAATGACACTCGTTTTTCTTCCCTATAATTTTTGCCCAAGTCAGATAGATAATCTCTCAAATGTTTTCCAAGAGATCACAAAATGTATCCAACTTCTGCAAAATAGTGCATGACACATGAATCTTTCGAGACAGGGTCTCATGCAGCCAAGACTGGCCTCAAACTCTCTGTACTACTGCAGACAGTCTTGACTTGCTGATCTTCCTGGGTGCTGGGGTTATAAGGGCTACACCACTACTCCCTGTTTTATATGGTGGTCCTGGGGATAAAACCTAGGGCTTCATGAATCCTAGGTAACCACTCTACCACTTGAGCTTTATCCCCAGGCAAACATGAATAATTTTATCACAATCATTTCGTAGTGACATGTTGATTGTACTAAATATATAACTTCTCCACTTTACTGATTATATAGTTCAACTCCTTTTTTATACAGGATTCCATATGTTACTTTTGAAAAATAGTATGCTATTTTTCAAAAGTAACATATACTTACTTAAATTATGTAATTTGGTACTTTTCAGTATATTCAGAGGTGTGCAAGTAAGTATCACTCCCTGTGTCTCCCCAACATCCCTCGCCCATGACACCACTGATATGCTTTCTGTTTCTATCAATGTTCCTATTCTCTATATTTCATATAAACTGAATATTTACAAGTTTCTTATTTTATGAAGCATAGTGTTTTCAAGGTTTATCCATGGCTGACCATAGTTTCTTTTTTCATTTATCAGTAGATGAATATTTATATTTTATGTTCCTCTTTAAAGAGCACTACTTTGTGTTTATTTTGCTTTTGTTTTTACATAGAGACTCACAGTGTTGCCCTGGCTGGCCTGGAGCATGCTACATACACAGACTCACCTCAAACTCATAGAGATATGTCTGTGGCTGCCTCCTGAGTGTCAAGACTACAGCCACACACTACCACACAAAACACTACTTTATAGTTTTGGGGTTGTTTGGTTTTTTTTTTTTTTTTTTTTTTTTTTTTTTTTTTTGGTTTGGTTTTTCGAGACAGGGTTTCTCTGTGTAGTCCTGGCTGTCCTGGAACTCACTCTGTAGACCAGGCTAGCCTCGAACTCTCGAACTCAGAAATCCCCCTGCCTCTGCCTCCCAAGTGCTGGGATTAAAGGCGTGCGCCACCACCGCCCGGCTGTTTGGTTTTTTTTAAGACAAGATCTCACTATGTAACCCTGGCTATCCTGGAACTCACTTTATAGACCAGGCTGGCCTCGAACTCTACCTGTTCTACCTGCCTCTGCCTCTGCCTCTGTCTCCCAGGTGCTGGTATTAAAGGTGTGTGCCACAATGCCTGGCTTGCTTTATAGTTATATAGTGAGAGACACCTGCATCATTTTCCTTGTTTATTGATTTGATGTTAAAAGTGTGACTCCAGGATGCAGCTATTGAGTAAATTCTCAATAAATGGAAAGATGGTTCTGTTTAGGTTTAATTTAGCAATGTGGACTGTGAGTTTTGCCTAATGACTGGATACATTTTAGATGCATTGGACCTAACCAGGATTGTGGAGACTACAGAGTCCAGGGGTTGACTCATGTTAATCTTTATCTTAGCACTAAAGAAGCGATCATTAAATAGCATAATAATTGAAGCAAATGCAATTTTTAGAATTCATCTCTTTGAAAGGCTAAGAATATGTTTGAAATAACTTATATTTCCAAGTCATACTTTGTATTTGGTAGTCATAATGGGTGTGTAGTCTGCTTTATTTTAGCTATAACCTTAAAAGCTAAGTATACATTAGGACATGAGGTTTTTCATTATACTATTTTTAGTGTATGTTTGATAATAACTGCTTTCTCTTTTTCTCTCACTACTTCTTTTTTTGTTTTCTTTTTTTGTTTGTTTTTGTTTTGAGACTTCATACTGTATAGCCTTGGCTGACCTAGAACTTGCTATATAGATCAGGCTAGACTCTCAAAGATTCTTCTACCTCTGCTTCTCAAGTAATGGAATTAAAGGTCTGGTTCTGATTTCTTTCATTCATTCATTCATACATACATACATACATACATACACACACACACACACATATGGTATATAGCATGCTTACACATGGTGTAGGAAAGGTTTGCTTGGCCATTTTAATAGACTAGTATAATTTTTGACTATATGGTAAATTTATAATGTTGTTACTTACTGTGCTATGAATAATATTTATTATTCCTTGTTTTTCATTTTTAGTGAGCATTACAAGTTTTATCCCACGTTTCAACTTTCTAAGCATAGATCTGCCAGTGATTGTGGAGACATTTGTCAAGTATCCTTTCTGGTTTGAAAAATGCTTTAAAAGTATGTTGTTTGTAGCATTATCCGTTTTACCCCAAATAGAGCATTACAATGTCTTATCATTTAATTGCTTACAACTGAAAAAGAGACCTTAAAGATGAAAGAGGTCAGGTTTTTACATATGAGGGGAAAGTCAATGAAGAAAACTCCATCAGCTAAGGACAAAGGTTAGGATACAGAAAGGAGGATCTTGTAGGAAGAGCAGCTGCATCCCAGTGGCCTGGCTGCCTGAAAGCACCTGAAGCACACAGACAGGACAGGCTCTTCACAGAAGCGTCCTGGCCACCAAAACTCTCTCCACTACTCTGCTAGCTCAGAATTCCAGGGGACAGTCTTCAGCCAATGCACCTCAGGTATGTCAGTCCACCATGTGCATGCAGTGCCCACAGAGGTCAGAAGAGGGTGACAGAAACGAGTTGCATGATTGTGACCTGTCTTATGGGTACTTGAATGGAACCCAGGTCCTCTGCAAGAGCAACCAGTGCTCTGCTGAGCCATCTCTCTAGCCCCATAAAAGCATAGTTTTACAGGAAATATAATGGGTATACATAAACAAAGCCTTTTTAAAAAGGCTGCAGAAAGGAAAGAACCCTTAATACAACTTGAGAATTTAATTTACAAGAACTTAATAATTGTTGAACCTTTAGTTAAGTCGTGAGGTGATGGATTCTGCCCAACTTTAGCTTATTAATAAATTTTGGGCAACTGAAGGATAAGTCTTACATACAGAAACCCATTCCACTGTTTTAAGGGAAGACTGCCTAAAAAAAGAGCAAGTCAGTTTCCATTATTAAAATAGAGATTATTAATCCCAGCACTTGGGAGGCAGAGGCAGGCAGATTTCTGAGTTCAAGGCCAGCCTGGTCTACAGAGTGAGTTCTAGGACAGCCAGGGCTGCCCAGAGAAATCCTGTCTCGAAAAACCAAAAAAAAAAGATTGTACCTTGGAGTCTATGACTTTGTCACAGAAAACATTATAAATTATAGCAAAATATAACAAAGCTCAAGAGTCAAAAATCTTTATTATCTAATATAAAATGAAATATGGTAACAATCAAAAGTAATTTTGTGGGCTGGAGAGATGACTCCTTGTTTAAGAGCACTTGCTATTCTTTCAGAGGATCTGAGTTTGGTTCACAGGCCCTTCCCTATAATTCTAGTTCCAGAAGATCTGACTTATTTTTTGGCCTACACAGGTATTCACACACATATACATAATGAAATAAATACCTTTTTAAGAAGTAATTTTGGGGGGCTGAAGAGATGGCTCAGCAATTAAAAGCACCAACTGCTCTCCCAGTGTACCCAGGTTTATTTCCAGAATCCACATAGTAGCTTAAACAACTATCTGCAGCTCCAATTCCAGGGGATCCAAACATCTGTTCTGACCTCCATGGACTTCTTGCATGCATTTGGTACATGTTTACACAGGCACACATATACAAATAAAATAAAAATAAATATATTTGAAGTAAATTTGGTACTGGTGTGTTGGTGCATGCTTATGGTCCTATCACTTGGGAGACTGAAAACAAGATCATCACCAGCCTGTGCAGCAAGACCCAGTCTCAGAATTTAACATAACGCTAATTTAGGGGCTAACATTATAGTTCAGTGGTAGAATACTGCCCAGAGTGCACAAAACACTAAGATTGGAGGTACTTTTTTCCTTTATTTCTTAGTCCTTCTGCATTCCTTTCTCTTTGTTGTATCATTAAAGGATTCCAAAAGCATAATCCTCTTAGGAATCCATTGTAGATTTGTTAAGTCTGTCTTTTTGTAGTTTGCTTTTCTATTGAAAGTTTTAAATAATAGAGGTATAAGAAAGAATGTTTCAGGTTTTGTTCGCTTTTTCATGTCTCTTTTTTTGTTGTTTTGTTTTTTTTGGTGGTGGTGGTGGTGATAGTGGGGTGTTTTGGGGGGTTGGTTTGTGTTGGTGTTGGTGGTGGTATTTTTTTCTTGGTTTTGTGTTTTATCTTGTTTTTGGAGGTAGAGTTTTTCTGTGTAGCCCTGACTGTTCTGGAACTTGGTCTGCAGACCAGGCTGGCCTCTAACTGCCTCTACCTCCTGAGTGCTGGGATTAAAGGCCACCACTGCCCTGCTTTAAGTGTTTCTTGTTTGCTTTGGGTTTTCATTGTTGTTGTTTGATTTTTGGTTTTTTATTGGAAGTGGGAGGTGTAAGAAAGAATATTAGAGACTTAAAGTAGAGAAACCTACAGTAATCTCACCTCCTAGTCCGATGTCTTCTCACTTCTCAAAAGATGATTTCCACTTTTATCTAATAGCTAGCTCCTTAACCAATCATTACCAGATATCTGATTTCTCTTTCTGGAGCTCTGGCTATTGTTAATGCAGTACCCTGCTTTGCCTTGGATGGTCAGTGGATTTTAAACTCTTTCCTGGATGCTACCCTTACTTCAGTGATTGGAGACAATGATGTCAAAGATCTGATAGGATTTTTCATCTTGCTTGGTGGCAGTGTACTTTTGGCTGCCAATGTGACACTGGGACTCTGGATGGTTACGGCACGGTAATATTTGCTCTCATCCACTGGATGGTTACAGCACGGTAAAATTTGCTCTCATCCAACAGAATTAAGTACAGCTACATGGTAATATCTGTTGCCATTGAAATTCTTAGTAGGTATGATATGTAAAGTGTTTCCTTAAAACATCTTGGCCAACCTCTTTGAGCTCCTAATATCTAGAGAATCCAAAAACTCGGTAGTAGAGGAGTGGAAGAAATGAAAAGCATAATTCCTGACTACATTCTACTTTTAAAGATTGAGTGTGCAAACTCTGAATGTTTGTTGAATAATTTGTAAACAAGTGAAAATTCATTCATGTAATACCATTTTGTGTGACTATATAGCATTTTGGAATAGTAAAAAGAAAAGCAGAATCTGGTAGGAAAACGTGTGTGTGTGTGTGTGTGTGTGTGTGTGTGTGCATGTGCACACAAGTCTGTATATGTTCTACTAGTGTTTGAAACCAGGGCCTTACTTATGCTACTTATGCTAAGCTTACCTGTCCCAGGTAAAATTTACTGCAAAGTGCCATTAAGATGATGTGGTGGTGCACACCTATAATCCCAACACTTGCCTGTATGTGTTTGAGAGGCTAGGCATAAGGATCATGAATTCAAGGCCATCATCTTTAGCTACATAGTAGGTTCCAGACCAGCACTGGCCACATAGCAAGACCCTGTCATGGCATGCATACATGTGCACATGCACTTGCACGCACACACGCACGCACACACACACACACACAATCATCATTAATGATTTGAGGGAGGCTAGACCTTGGTTAAATGGGAGATAGAGCAAGTGCTCTTGGTTTTATAACTCTTGTCTTTATCTTGTTTGAGAAGTATTTTAAAGTTTAATGGTATATTATTCTATACTCTGATTATAATTCATGAAAGTATCTGCTACCATGAAAGCAAAAACTCTGTACAAGTGATACCAAGTAAATGAACAATGTTGAAAGTAGATAAGGCCTGTGATGTGATAAGACAGTTTGTCACACAAGTATTACCTATTTCATAGTATAGGCCCACACTCTTTACAACATCCTAGCCTTGTTATATAGATATGCTGCAGGAAGGATCTCTCATAGCAGCATGGGAGCTCAGGCAGTTAGAGGTGAACTTAAGAACTAAGCTGAGTCCTCTAACAGACCACAGCAGAACTTCAGCAAATCTACTTACCAACTTCCTAGAGCTTAGCAGCTTAGAACTCTTCCAGGGTAGACCTTCTCCTTGTGCTGCAAGAACATTCAACCCTGAGCCATACTCTGTCCTCACCAGCACCTAGTATGTTTCTCTCTGTAGGCGGGATTAAACACCTAAGCTTTGCTTTCCATCTCCCCTAAGCTACCTCTGTGAATACACAAAAGAATGGCTGCACAAACTAAGATTTCCCAGAATCTACAAACAGACTTTTGAGCTCTAAAGAACCACGATTGATCTTGCAGGGTAGCAGTTCAACCCTGGGAAATTCAGAAAGTCATCTGGCAGATGTGACGCTGTTAGTCTTAAGAGTATATATGCACATACTGTTTCTGTCATGAAAAATACATATTTCATGAAACACACACATTAGAGGTAACAAAAGGCAGTGATTCATTCATTAATAGTCAGATATATACCTCCCTCCTGAAGTAAGGTACTTTGTAAGGTTACCTTTTTCAGAACATTAGTTCTCTTAAGCGCCTAAAACTTTTAAATCAATTTTTAGAAATTTTTTAGACTTTCTATTACAAATTTGCCTTCTTTCTTTAATAGAAATCATACACTGAATATCATTTTGAGATTTTATTAGTGATGGGTCATTGGTTACTAATAGTACTAAAGTCATACAAATTACTAACTTTTATCACAGAAAATATGGCATTGTTGTCTTCTAAGATCACTCAGGACCAAAATGTACCTGCATACTAAAAATGCACAGACCTTTTCAGGTAAAGCTTAGAGAATGCCGTGAAATACTCAACATTATTAACTTCATCGCATGCATTAAGCAGTCTACTAAATGAAAATGTATGTGTGTGAATCATTTTTTTCAATACTGAGGAAAACAATGTTTGGTGTGGTACTTAATAGAACCCAGGACCTCACACATGCTAGCTAGTATTCTACTACTAAACTATTATCCATAGACCATGAAAATATTTTAATAAGAGGAAATTCTATTCATTAACTTCATTTTCTGAGTGAAGGCAACAACAATACAAAACCTCATTTTATATTAGCTGCTGAACACCTCTGCCAGCTAATCTTTAGGGTCCGGGTTTGGGAGCTTCTCTCCTGGAAGTCCAGCAGATTTGTATGCAAATGGCCTCATTACTAAAGAAAGGAGATGTTACATATTGTCTCTTCAGCTTCACTGTGGGCTCCTTACCTCCCTGCATAGTGCATGAGCTATCAGAAGTGTTTAATGTGCTTGAATGGATGATGATTAGTGTTATTTATGGATAGAAAAAGCATGCTTCTATTTAAGCTGTAAAAAGGATTGTTAAAGATTTACTGTAAATATATGTTGACATAGTAAAGCTTGGAATGTCTTATGTCCCTGGGGTATTATCATCTTTATGGAAAAAATTCATTTTGGTTTCTGTAGAGCAATTAGAAAAACAAATTATATTGGAAAAATGAATTATGTTGGTGATTTGAAGAAGTATCTGTGTGTTGTCTCTTTGTTCAACAGTGAAACTTTATTCTCAGTGTTCCTATTCTGCATTGTTTACATTCTTAAGGTTTTTATTTTAATCATCCATAAATGTAAAAAAATGTATATATTATTTTTAGCATCTCAGTTTGAAGAGACACAGTTAAACTTGACTTTTTGATAAACATTTCTAGGTCATTGTCTATGTAACAGCAAATTGTAAACATATGCTTCCTAGTGATGTGGCTTTTTGTCATCATTGTGTCCTTGGTATTTATTGAGCATCCACATACTAGTGGCACACAGATTGTTATTTTTCAATAACTCTTTTGATTGAGCTGTAATTCATTTTAAGGCTTTAATTTGATTTTATAATTGTCAGAATGTAATGTTTAGCAATAAAAGAACAAATGTAAACCAGCATTTTATATTTATCATCTTCTGTTTCATGGTTTTTACACTTGACCTTAGCCAAAAGGCCAAGAAGCAATTGTCTTTTTAGTGTACTTTTTTCCTATAGAAATGTCCCACTTACATAGAGTAAGATCTTGATTCTAAAAGTGACCTTCAATTTCCATTGTATGACAGTTGTTACAGGCCTCAGAAAGAAATCTTCTAAGTGAGCTGCCTTTGTTTATAATTTTGGAAATGTTCAATTTAAGGAAAGAGGACTGCCACATTGCATTAGTGGTGTGTGCGTGTGTCTGTCTGTCTGGTGTTAATATTATACTAATATATTTACATCATAGTATTACAAAAGTATGTATGTGGAAGGAGGGTGCATGTGCATGTAGAGGCCAGAGGAAGACGCCCTTTTGTATGACTTTTCACCTTATTCCCTGAAGACAAGGTTTCTTACTCAATCTGGAGCTAAGCTGTTAGCCAGAGATCCCTGTCTGCACCCTCAGCAAGCACTTGAGTTATAGCTGTGCATGGCCATATCCAATTTAACTTAGGTGCCAGGGTCTGAGGTCAGATGCTTGTGCTTCCATAGAAACCGCTCTAACCTACAAAGTCATTGTTAGCATTTTGTCTAAGCTCTGCTCCACGGTTACCTGGCAACAGCCAGATGTGCCTAACTCACTATAAGAGGCCTCTCACTTGCCTTCCTGCTCTCGCTCTGTGCCCTCCTCCCTTCCCCCTCTCTCCCCATTCCCATCCCCCCTCTCTCCACGTGCTCATGGCTGGTCTCTACTCCTCCCCACCCCCCTCTGCCTTTCTTTGTACTACCCTCTTGTCCTGTGGCTGGTCCCTCAGGGGGAAGGGGGGGAAGGGATGCCTCAGCATGGACCCGAGGAGGCACCCCCTTCCCCCATACTTGACTACACTTACACCAAACGTATTCCCTCTCTCCCTATCTTTTTATAAAACACAATAGTCATCTCTCCAGTCCATCATTAGTGTTTGGCACAATTCTACTCCAAGTTTATTTGTGCTTTTAGGAATTCTTGCAAAGAAAGCATTTAGTAATTTGCTAGTGGCGGCACTGGCCAGTAAGCTCATCTTGGAAAGTAGAGGCAGAATAATCAGGAATTAGCTTAGCTTACTGCTTTTCATCATTCAGTATTAAATTTATTTGGGGGTACCGTAAGCCTGGGGATCCAACCGAAGGTCCTCATGCATATTTAACCAAGTACTCTAGTCCTGTGCTCCATCTCTCCCCAACTCACATTTTCACAAAGGCCTTGTAACATGGCCTGGAACCCACAGAGATCTGCCTGTCTTAGCCCATCATGCGCTAGGAGTAAAGGTGTGGACCACTACTCCCAGCAAGTCTAATTTCTCTTTTCTAGGTCCCAGACTTTTAGACCTCATCCATGGCATTCCTTTCTTAGGTTTCAACCACTTCGTTTCATAACTTTAATGGCTTTTAATATGTCTTTTTAGGTTTTATATATCACCTGCATTGCTACAATGCAGGGACCACTGTGCAATTTCATGCACTTCTCCTTTATGGAAATACCTAGCAAAAAGGTTAGTAATCAGAAGTTTGTTTGGCAACTGTACAAGGAAGCAAAATAGAATTATGTAATTTGGGAGACTTGTAGAAAAATATTCTCACACTAAAAATAGAGATGCAGTTTATTATATAAAACAGGTTAATGAAAATAGTGATTTATTGAAGGATATGTATAAACTAATAAGCTAGACTTTCAACTTGGCGGTGTATTAAGTATTTCCCCATGTTATTAATATTCTAATGTTGCTTCAATAGCAATATCATATGGCTGTGTTAAATATGACATAGTTTACATAATTCCTGTTATTTTTCTTTTTACTTTTTTTTTTTTTTTTGGTTTTTCGAGACAAGGTTTCTCTGTGTAGTTCTGGCTGTCCTGGAACTCACTCTGTAGACCAGGCTGGCCTCGAACTCAGAAATCTGCCTCTGCCTCCCAAGTGCTGGGATTAAAGGCGTGTGCCACCACCCTCAGGCTTCTTTTTACTTTTTTTATTGGGTATTTTATTAACATTTCAGATGTGATCCCATTTCCCCCCCAACCAGGAACCCCCTATCCCATCCCCCCTCCTCCTGCTTCTATGAGGATGTGCCCCCACCCACCTGCCCACATCTCCACCCACGAATTCCCCCACACTGAGGCATCCAGCATTCACTAAGCCAAGGACCTCCTCTCCCACCTGGTTGTTTACGCCCTGGGAGCTCTGGTTGGTTGGTATTGTTGCTCTCCCCATGGGGCGTGCAAACCCTTTCAGCTCCTTCAGTCTTTTAACTCCTCCATTCGGAACCCCATGGTCAATTCAGTGGTTAGTTGTGAGCATCTGCCTCTGATTAAGCCAGGCTTTGGCGGACCTCTAAGGAGACAGCTATATCAGGCTCCTGTCAGCATGCACTTCCTGACATCCACATCAGCGGCTGCCTTTGGTGAATGCACATGGGATAGATACCCAGGTAGAACAGTTTCCAGACGACCCCTCCTTCAGTTTCTGTCCCACACTTTGTCTCCATATTTGCTCCAATGGACCCAAGCACTCACACTTGGTCTTCCTTCTTCATGAGCTTCATGTGGTCTGTGAGTTGTATCTTGGGCATTTCAAGGTTCTGGGCTAATATCCAGTTGTCAGTGAATGAATACCATGTGTGTTCTTTTGTGATTGGGTTACCTCACTCAGGATGATATTTTCTAGTTCCATCCATTTGCCTAAGAATTTCTCAAATTCGTTGTTTTTAATAGCTGAGTAGTACTCTATTGTTTAAATGCACCACATTGTGTAAATGTTTTGTACTTTTATACATGTGTGGGTTACCATTTCTAAGATGAAACACTATGGCCATCTAAAGTTGAGGAAGAAAGGGCTTCTTTGTACTTCCATATCATTGTTCATCACTGAATGAGGACAAGAACTCAAGGAGGGCCTGGAACCTGGAGGCAGGACCTGATGCAGAGGCCAGGAGGGTGCTACTTACTGGCTTGTTCCCTGTAGTTTTCTCTGTCTGCTTTCTTATAGACCCCGAGACCACCAGTCCAGGGATGGCACTGTCCACAATGGGCTGGATCCTCTGCCATTAATCACTAAAATTCCCTACAGGCCTGCCTACAGCCCCATTTTATGGAGCTGTTTGCTTAATTGAGGTTCCCTCCTCCTAGTTGATTTTACCTTGTGTCAAGTTGATGTAAAATTAAGCAGTACAGTAAGTAAAGGCATTAGGAATGTACTTGAAATAGTTGTTTATATCTATGATTGTATGAAATTTAGAAACTTGAAAAAATTCTAGAGGAGTCATAGGTGTCTTAGAGTCTGACCAGAGTTTTATGTATACATACTGTTAAATTGAATTTTTATGTTTGCAGGTTTGCAAAATGGCATCTTTAATTTGCATTTTTGATTAGAAAAAAATCGACATTTTAAAATGTGTCAGTGTATTTTGTTTAAACATATCCTTTTCTCATTTTCATTTTAAGTCATATTTGTGTAACATATATACACTCATTCAGTTAAGTATTGGGGGCTCATATATGTGCAGATGTATATGCACATGTGTACTCATGTATATGATGGCCTGGGTCTGATCTCAGAAGTCGTCTTGATGTTCCTTTACATTATTAATCGAGGCAAGGTCTTCCAGTTGAACTTAGAGGTTGCCAATAGCTAACCAGCTTCTCAGAGGGTCCCAAGAGGAGGTGGCATGCCCACTTAGTGGGGATCCTAAATCCAATCACATGTCTGCTGCTTGTGTTCGAAGTGTTTTAACCACTTACAATGTCCCCAGGTCCTTTTGCCCATTTTTCATGGGAAGGATTAATTTACTCCTTTTCTTCAACTTCATTTTAGCACAATGTTTATCATTGTGTATACACACACACACAAACACACACACATATATATGCACATGTATGTAATATATAACATGTTATTATGTATGTTATATATATTATATATTAACATATTATGTATATATTACTGTATGCCATTCTTTAATTGCTTTGCTTGTGTTTTTTTCACATTTAATGATATGCTTTGAAAGTCTTCTCTAGTCCAAGAATTTACTGATACATTTTATTTTAACAATTTCATGATTTAATTTTTAAAAATTGTTTAACCAACATGTATTATATTTTACTGTTTGTGCTTTGGGGACCTGTTCAGAAAGTCCTTTCCTATGCCTCTATCTGATTCATGGTATTGTGTCTCATGTTGAGATCCTTGATCCATTTGGAGTTGAATTTTTTTGTATGGTGAAAGATAAAGATCAAATTTCATTCTTCTACATGTAATGATCCAGTTTGATCACCACTGTTTGTTGAAGATGCTGTCTTTTCTCCAGTATGTACTTTTAGCTTTTTTGGTTAACAATTGGATGACTATGATAGTATGGGCTTATGTATAGATCTTCAGTTCTGTTTCATTCATCAGTTTGTCTGATTTCAAAGAAAGGGTGCAAGAACACAGTGGTATAAAGGGTCAAAGTGAAATAATGAAATGGGAAGGGTTAAAAGGAGGGGAGCCAGTTGGGCAGTGGTGGCACACACCTTTAATCCCAGCACTTGGGAGACAGAGGCAGGCGGATTTCTGAGTTCGAGAGTTGGAGGCTAGCCTGATCTACAGAGTGAGTTCCAGGACAGCCACGGCTACACAGAGAAACCCTGTCTCGAAAAACCAAAACCAAAACAAAACATAAAGGCGGGGCTGGAGAGATGGCTCAGTGGTTAAGAGCACTGACTGCTCTTCCAGAGATCCTGGAGTTCAATTCCCAGGAACCACATGGTGGCTCACAACCATCTATAATGGGATCAGATGCCCTCTTCTGGTGTATCTGAAGACAGTGACAGTGTATTCATATACATAAAATAAAATCTTTTTAAAAAAGAAATATAAAGGCATTTTGAGGAAGTCATATGGGAATCTACTGTAGACACTTCCTGAAATATATACATACACATATAGAGAAACAGTTGAAATCAGTCACCCG